TTACCACTGATTTTTCACCCATTTCTCGCTGATTTTGTCCCCAATTTTTCCCCATTTCTCACTGATTTTTTCCCCATTTCACCATGATTTTTTCCCCATTTCTCACGGATTTTCCCCCACATTTCTCACTGATTTTTTTCCCCTATTTTTCATGGATTTTTCCCGATTTTTTCCCGTTTTTCACTGAATTATCCCTCCATTTATCACTGCTTTTTCCCCATTTTTCCCCATTTCTCACTGAATTTTTCCCAGCATCGGCCACCACAGCACGAGCGACAACAGCTCGCTGTGTTTCCTCCATTTCCCATGGATTGTTTGCCCATTTTTCATGGATTTTTTTCCCCATTTCTCATTGATTTATTCCCCATTTTTCCCCCATTTCTCACTGATTTTTCCCCCCATTTCTCACTGATTTTTATCCCCCACTTCTGACTGATTTTTATCCCCCACTTCTGACTGATTTTTCCCCATTTCACCATGATTTTTTCCCCATTTCACCATGATTTTTTCCCCATTTCTCACTGATTTCCCCCCATTTCTCACTGATTTCCCCCCATTTCTCACTGATTCCCCCCCATTTTTCATTGATTTTTCCCCCATTTCTCACTGATTTTTGCCCCCATTTCTCTCTGATTTTTTCCCCAATTTTTCAAGCATTTTTTCCCGCAATTTTCGTGGATTTTTTCCTGATTTTTACCCCCCATTTCTCACTGATTTTTACCCCCCATTTTTCATGTATTTTTCGTGGATTTTTTCCCGATTTTTCCCCGTATCTCACAGATTTTTCCCCCCATTTCTCATGGATTTTTCCCCCAATTTTCATGGATATTTCCCGATTTTCCCCCCCATTTCTCACTGATTTTTGGCCCCCATTTCTCTCTAAATTTTCCCCCCATTTTTAGTGCATTTCCTCCCCCGTTTTTGATTTTTGCCCCAATTTTTCATGCATTTTTTCCCACAATTTTCATGGATTTTTTCCCGATTTTTCCCCATTTCTCAATGATTTTTTTCCCCATTTCTCACTGATTTTTACGACCCATTTCTGACTGATTTTTTCCCCATTTCACCATGATTTTTTCCCCATTTCGCACTGATTTATTTCCAATTTTCCTCCCAGTTCTCAGCGATTTCCCCCCCCCATTTCTCACTGATTTTTTCGACCCATTTCTGACTAATTTTTCCCCATTTCTCTCTGATTTTTTCCCCATTTCACCATGATGTTTTCCCCATTTCTTACTGATTTTTTCCTCTATTTTTCACGGATTTTTCCACCCATTTTTCGTGGATTTTTCCCCGATTTTTCCCCATTTCTCACTGATTTTTTCCCCCATTTCTCACTGATTCTTCACCCAATTTTTCATGAGGTTTTTTACCCATTTTTATCCATTTCTCACTGATTTTTTCCCCCAGCATCGGCCACCACAGCACGAGCGACAACAGCTCACTGTGTTTCCTCCATTTGTCATGGATTTTTCACCCAATTTTCATTGACTTTTTCCCGATTTTTCCCAGTTTCTCTCTGATTTTTCCCCCCATTTCTCACTGATTTTTTTTCCCCATTTCTCCCCATTTCTCACTGATTATTTCCCCCATTTTTCAAGGATTTTTTTCCCCCATTTTTCATTGATTTTTTTTTCTCATTTTCCCCCCATTTCTCACTGATTTTTTCCCCATTTCTCACTGATTTTTTTCCCCCATTTCTCACTGATTTTTTCCCCGTATCTCACTGATTTTTTCCCCCAATTTTCATGGATTTTTTTCCCGATTTTTCCCAGTTTCTCTCTGATTTTCCCCCCCATTTCTCACTGATTTTTCCCCATTTCTCCCCATTTCTCACTGATTATTTCCCCCATTTTTCATGGATTTTTTCCCCCCATTTTTCATGTATTTTTTTCCCATTTCTCACTGATGTTTTTCCCCATTTCTCACTGATTTTTTCCCCATTTCTCACTGATTTTTCCCCATTTCTCACTGATGTTTTCCCCCATTTCGCACTGATTTTCTTCCCCAGGATTGGCCACCACAGCATGAGCGGTGACAGCTCAGCGTACCGCTTGGTGGACGAGGTGAATTCCTGGGACAGGCAGGACCATCCCATCTCCCGCCTGC